TTCAAAAATAATTTAAGAAACAACTATTTATATTTCTTCTAAGGTTATTGAGCTGTTCGTATTTTCTATCTCTTCTTGAGTTAATTTTGACAATTCATGTTTTTCTGGAAAATTCTACTTTTGTTGAGCTTTCCACATTTATTAGGAGAGGCCGCGCATTTTCTTACTTTTTTTGACATCATCTCTTCTATATCTCTGGTCATATCTTCTCCCAGTTCCTCATCTGGATATTTGTGTCTTCTTCTTTGAGTATTTCCCTAGGTTTGTCTATCTTATTGGCCTTTTTAAATAACAATTCTATCTATTGCTGTGCCTGCTTTTCTGTTTACTAATTTGTTATTTTTTGCCTTTTCTATATCAGTTCCTTTCCCCTCCTTTTCCTAGGTTTATTTTCTTTTTCTTTTTTAAAGCCGGCTTCTTGTGTTGAGTGAAGCTTTGGTGAGGCACTGACTTTCAAACCTTTGCTTTCAGGGTCAAGGTTGTAAAGCACGTGTGACAGTGGCAGAAACGATTAGAGTTTAGCCCCCCAGTGAAGAAAGAACCCAATCCCAGGGGCTGGCGAGCTGGGTTCCAGCGCCAGCCTTGCCTCCGATCAGCTGGGTGTTTTGCTTCATCCCTTCCCCTCTCAGAACTCTCTTATACCCACCACAGGCACCCAGGCAGGCTGTGGACCTCAGGGAGCTCGGCCCTGCACCAGACTCCCGCTAGCAGGATGACACCCTTCGTCTTCCAAGGGGCAGACGTGGCAGGGCCCCCCGAGCTGCTCCTGGGTCTCATCCCAGCACGTGTATCCACAAAAACTATGCGGTCGAATTTCAGTCTGCATCACGGAGCTGATAAACAGTGGTGACATTGTGGCCTGAAGGCCACGCTCAGCCCGGGCGTCCCAGCTGAGCCATGTGGAGCCTTGGGGTTGCAAGCACAGCCAAGTGTATGTACCAGGCAACAGAGTGCCATGGCTGAACTTGGCTTTGACATTGTACTGCTTAGATTTGAATCCTGGCCTGTACTGTGCAACCTTGGACAAATTACTAGACCTTTCTCTGTCTCATTGTCCTATAAAATGAGGATAGTATCAGTACCTTACCTCATAGCATGGTTGAAGGTTAAATGAGTTAATACCATACAGTAGTAAGAACAGAGCCCGGTGTTTTGTAATTTCTTTTTTTTTTTTTTATTAATTAATTTATTTTTTTTGAATTGTTTATGCTGTTACAGTTGTTCTATTCCCCCCTTCATTCCCCTCCACCCTGTCCCCCCAACCCCCCATTACCCCCCCTTTAGCTTATGTCCATGTGTCTCAAGTCCTTTAGGTTCTATATTTCCCATACTATTCTTGCCCCCCCCATCTATTTTCTATCTACTGTCTATGCTACTTGTTTTCTGTACCTTCTCTCCCCGTCTTCTCCTCCCACTCCCCTGTTGCTAACCCTCCTTGAGATCTTCATTTCTATGTTTCCACTCCTGATCTAGCTGTCCTTTTAGTTTGCTTTCGTTTTAGGTGTGGTTGTTAATAACTGTGAGCTTGTTGTCCTTTCACTGTTCGTGTTTCTTTAACTTCTTTTTCTTAGATAAGTCCCTTTAACATTTCATATAATAAGGGCTTGGTGATGATGAACTCCTTGAATTTGGTCTTATCTGAGAAGCACCTTATCTGTCCTTCTGTTCTAAATGAAAGTTTTGCTGGGTAGAGCAATCTTGGTTGGAGGTCTTTAGTTTTCATGACTTGGAATATTTCTTTCCAGCCCCTTCTTGCCTGTAAGGTTTCTTTTGAGAAATCAGCTGACAGTCTGATGGGGACTCCTTTGTAGGTGATTGTCCCCTTAGCTCTTGCTGCTTCCAGGATTCTCTCCTTCGTTTTAATTTTGGCTAATGTAATTATGATATGCCTTGGTGTGTTTCTTCTTGAGTCCAACTTTTTTGGTACTCTCTGGGCTTCTTGGATTTCTTGGAAGTCTGTTTCCTTTGCCAGATTGGGGAAATTTTCTTTTATTATTTGTTCAAATAGTTTTTCCACTGGTGGTTGTGTCTTTCCCCCTTCTGGTACCCCTATAATTCGGATATTGGAGCGTTTATAGATGTCCTGGAAGTTCCTAAGCTTCTCCTCATTTTTCTGAATTCTTATTTCTTCATTCCTTTCTGATTGATCATTTTTTTCTTCCTTCTGGTTCACTCCATTGAGTTGAGTCCCAGTTTTTTTTCATCTCTATGGATTTCCTGTGGAATTCCATTCATTTCCCTTAATTTAGCCTTCATATGTTTCTCTAATTTGTGGCTATAGTCCACCAGATCTGTGAGGAAGCTGACGACCAGTGTTTTGAACTGTGCGTCTGAGAGATTTGCTATTTCTTCGTCACTTAGATTTATCTCCGGGACTTTGAGGACCCCCTGCGACATTTTTGGTCTGTTCTGGCCCTTTAAGTGAGAGAAGCGGCGCCTTGGAGTCCCAGGTCGCTGGGTTGTGACGCTGTATGTGGGGGCGTGGTCAGAGCGGGGAAAATGGCGCCGCCGCAGCCGGTCCCACCGCTCAGTCAACTCGCTGCCACCGCCTCCCCACTGATTCCTCCGTAGTCGCTCCCCCGGTGGGCTGCTCACTAGGTCCAATCCTGGGTTTGGAACCCGTGCGACTGGATTCGCGCGTCTGGGTTCCGCGCCCACGCCCGGGTCGCTCGAGTTCTCCTTTGTAACTCCTGACCCGCCGCCCGCCGGTTTCGCCGCTTACCGGCCGGGCCGAAGAATTTGTTGTTTGCGGACTTCCTAAAAGTCGCGCGTCTGGATTCCGCGCCCGCGCCCGGGTCGCTCGAGTTCTCCTTTGTAACTCCTGACCCGCCGCCCGCCGGTTTCGCCGCTTACCGGCCGGGCCGAAGAATTTGTTGTTTGCGGACTTCCGAAAAGTTCAGTTTTCCGTGTTCTGGTTGTGTTTTCTGATGCTAATATTTAGTTGTCCTTAAACTTGGTTGTGAGAGGAGGCAGGCACATCCACCTTAAACCTCCATCTTGGCGGAAGTCCTGTAATTTCGAAGTTAGCGTTGGTGGTTTGTCGTTGTCATCATTGGTGTGTGAGCCTGGGGGCGGGGCCCGGGTGGGATCTGCTGCACGGTTGGGTGGGGGTGCCAGCCCACGGGGACAGCCCCAGCCGCCGCTGTCTCCTGTCCACACCTTGTCGTCTGGCCCTGGCACTGCGACCGTGCCCTGACCAGTCTGATGCTGCACTCATTCTTGACAATGAATGGAAAGGACTGCTATGGACTCCAGAAAACTGCTTCTGTAGCAGGGCCACTTCTTTCATTTTCTCAACCAATATTTGCAGGCCTGTGCCATTCTGACCTGGGTACAAAGACTTGATCCTGGAGCTCACACTCTGTGGAGAGGAGCTGCTCCCGAGGGTGTGGGGGCTGACTTGGAAGAGGAGGAAGGGGGAGGCATAAGATAGCTGGAGGCTTGGGAACCCCCTTAAATCACTTATAAATGTAGGCAGTTCTGCCAACTCCATTTATCTGCTTAATCTCAGCTTTCATGGGGCGTCATATGCAGATCTAATGGGGGAATCAAGGACCCCCGGGGGCATTTGCTCCCCTGTCACCAGCTACGCGTGTCACAAACCAGGATGCCCAGTCCAAAACTCGGAGGGTAGTACGCAGAGGGAAGGTGGGAGGCCCCTGTCCGGCAGCTTCCTGGGTTCTGGAAAGTAAGCAGAGCCATGTGAACTGAAGCAGCCTCTGGGTGCTGGCTGGGCAGTCTGCATGACTAGCACTAGACGGACTGTTCCTCTCTCCGAGAAACGTTCATGTCTCACACCATGTGCTGGCTTACAGTTTTGGGGGGTGTTGGTCAGAGGTGGTCCTTCTTGCTGAGCCCCCTGCTAGTGGGGCTGAGCTCAGAGTCATGGCCTGTGTACCACCTGCACCGCCCCGCTGGGCCTTCCGGGAGGCTCCTGGGCCCAGCCTGCTCTGTGCGGTCAGGAGCCTCTCCCCCACACCCCCGGACCTCTCCTCACCTCCTCGATCCTCAGCGTCCACACCCAGAACAGGTGGAGGTTCTGCCCTCCCTCCCTCGTCCCAAGGCCGCCTCATTTCCCACCTTCTCCCCAGCAGGCACCCCCCTCCTTTCAGGAGCAACTGTCGGTCACACCCAGCGGGGCGGGGCTCATCTTCGGGGGGGCCCCCAGGTAACCACTGCACAGTGTGATCTCCCGGGGTCTGGGTTGTTGGTCTTGCCCACGAGCGCCTTGTTGCCTACACGTAACTGGCGACACGTGACGGGGCTGCAGCCCCACTCCTTCCCCAGGGGCAGACATGCCTGAGAGGCATCCCCCTCGGAGTCCGGCTCCTCCGACACTTGGGTGCACCGCCTGTGCACACGTTTCTTCACCAAGGCCCCACGAGGCGCCGAGCTGTGTGGTGGAGGCAGGCTGTGTGGGCTGTGAAGGAGGAGTCACCCCTACTCTTCCAGCGCTCAGGCCTGCCAGGAGGGGGCCACACGCTCCCCAGGATTTCTGCTTCCAGGGGCTGAGGCCTTAACCTTCAGGTCCCTGTGCCCAGAACGGTGTCTGGTATCAGAAAGGACTGGCTCTGGGCCAAAGGAAGAAGAATTCAGTGAGAGCCAGAGCTGTAGGGGTGTGAGGCAGAGGGAGGCGTCTGAGATGTTTTTGAAGGTGGAAGGTGGGGGTGTTGGGCTGCGTGCAGCTGGAGGAGAGGGCGAGGTGTGGTGGTGCAGAAGTCCTGGTCCCACTGGGGGAGGAGAGAGCGAGGTGAGCCAGCTGGAGCCCCAGCTTCCCAGGGACGCAGCCAGCATCCCTGGTTCCTGCTGACGAGGGCCCAGGAGGCTGGAGGGGTGCATGCTCCCCCCTCCACGTGTCCCTGCGGGTGACGTGAGGAGCTGGGGGCATGTTGGCGTGCAGCGTCCAGACGTGACATGCGTGCAGCTGTCTGGGGAGCTGTGGACAGGAGCGGCTGGCCACGGAGACGCTCACCCTGTGATTTGTTGCTTTGATTCCTCAGGCCGAGACTTGGCGAGCACGACCCTTCCCGGGTACCCTCCGCACGTCCCCCCCGCCGGACAGGGCAGCTACTCAGCACCAACGCTGACAGGGATGGTTCCTGGTGAGTGTGCATTGTTGGCGTCTCTGGGGCACGGCGGATGGGGTTTCGGTGGGGGTACCCCCCCAAACAGCCCTGGTGACCTCTCTGCTTCTGAGAAGTGGACCTGAATAAATCAGGCAGAGGTCTGCACTCCCGGCCTCCCCTGCAGCGAGGCCTGCAGGGGGCTGGGACCAGGCAGTGGCGGCACCAGGGAAAACATCAGAGAGAGGGGGCTATGGGCTGTCACTCAAACATCCCCTCATCGGCCACACGGCAAGCCTGAACACAGAGGGGGGCAGGACCCGGTCGAAGGTCACCCAGCCAGTGGGGAGTGGGCCCTCCCCACCCCCTCTCCTCCCCCCTCCCTTTCCTACCCACTCTATGTGACATGAACACAAGGAAGCACTGCTGAGGTCCCCTCTGTGGCCTTACTCCGTGGAAGTGAGGACCACGTGCTCAGGACGAGCAGCGTGTCCTCTGGTGGGTTTGTCACTTGATTCGCAACTGAACACCCTGTGACCATTGAAACCTGATGCCCTCGGGCTGGCAATGTGTCAGTTTCTTTGAAGACATTGGGAAAGGCGGCCACCCCGTGTGCTTCCATGGACAACACATCACATGGTACTGGCTGGGGACCGAGGGCCCCAGGGCAGCAGGGACCCGAGTATCGTCTTTTTGAAAAATGTTTTAAAAAACCATCAGTGGAAAATTGGGTTGAAGTATAGTTACACTTCTCGGAAGTGCCCCCTGTTTTGAGTCACCTGTAGGGGCCGCCCCCCCTCCCAGCACACACAGTGACTCTCTCAGGGCCTGTGAAAAAGCCAGGCCGGCTACTTCCTCCCTCCCACCCGATGGGTGTCTCTTCGGAGCCTCACAACAGCTCTGAGAAGTAGGTGGGTGGGTCCATCACCCAGCTTTCTTGGGGAGGAGATTGAGCCCAGGAAGGGGGTGGGATGTGCCTAAATCACCTGGCAAATAGGAAGCCTGACCCAGCGGGAGCCACTGAGACCTAGGCAGAGGGGCAGACCCTGGCCCTGCAGGCTTCCCCCACCCCCAGGGACCATAGAGAGTCCGCCAACCAAAGGGACCTGCCTACCAAGAACCCGAGCCCCTCCTTCTAGCCCCCCCTAAGGGTGCCGTCCCAACAGCCCCAAACCTCCTCTTCCCCGACCTGTGTCGTAGGCACGTGCACCCCAGGGCTGAGGACTGACTCTTTGTGGGGGTGTGGACAGAGCTCGGACATGAGGGCTGGGTGTCCACACCTGTGTGTGGGGCCTCGCAGGACAGTGAGCGGAGCTGGGGCCGGGAAGGGAAGGGAAGCAGGGCGGATCGTAGCTCAGGTGGGCTCACCCCATGCAGCCAGGGCCTGGTGCGGATGCCAAGGAATCACGGAATTCTACATTCACTCCTGGCTTTCCAGGTTATTACGAAGATGTGTTTAACAAGGTAGGAGGACAGAGCATGTTTCATTTAACGGTTTGTTAGCTTGATTTATGGCTTTTAAATACAAGACATATGGGAAGCGGCCTCCGGGTGTGCTCTTGCCCTAGGCCTTGCCAATGCGGGAGGGGCCTACCAAGGTGAGACCCGCAAAGCCTTCACCTTTTCTGCTGCCAAGATGGGCCGTGCAGAGCAGAGGCAAACAGGTGGTGGGGCAGCCCCTCCCGGCCTTTCCCAGCTACTGGCAGATTAGGGCAGCCTCAGGACAAGGATCCCGAGCCATGTCCATTAGTGGCCCTTAGAATTTTTGTAACATTTTAAAGAATGCACAGTGCTTTCCTAGGAGCCGCCCGATGTTACCGCCCTGTGAGGTGGGCTGGTCTGGAGTGTAGCCCCAGCTTTTTGAAAGGAGAAGCTGAGACACAGAGCAGCTGGGGAATGTTCGAGGCCACCCAGCCTGAGTCCGGGTCTGGGCCCTGCAGTCCAGCGCTCCTTCCCCTGTCCTGTGCCACTGCGTGTGCTCCGAGTCTGTCCGTGCAAGCTCCTCGGTGCGGCCAGAGGGTGGGCGGCAGTGCGCTGGCAGGTGGAGCCGAGGCCGCCCTGCTGGCCCTGCTGGCCCTGCTGCCTCCCAGCTGCAAACCCCAAAGAGGCCGAGCTCAGAGAAGCCTGGCAGAGCCCCCGGTGGGAACCGACGGCAGCTCCTCGCCCACTTACGGGGCAGCAGGAATCCCAGGCCGAGCCTCCCCAACCTGCTGGCAGCAGCCAGGCAGGCGCTGCCACGGTGGTGTGGTTCCCCCGAGACTCTGTCCCCACAACAGGGGCGGGCGCACAGTGTGCTCCTTCCAAGCACGTCTCTCCCCTCCCTTCTTCCTTCCTTTTTCTTCCCGCACGCCCAGCGCTCAGTCCACACCAGGCTCTGCGTCAGGGCGGGGAGTCTGCACTCCGTGGGCACCGTCTGCAGCTCCTGTGCCTCACTGTCCAAATCAGTATCACGGCCTTGGGACTGCTTCCAACACGGCTTCCAAATCCCTTTCATGGGTGGCTTCATGGGGTGGTGCCAGCTGGTGTGCCCGGTCTCTGCCGGAACTGCCCCCGGGCGGGCCCACGGGAGCTGGCCCACCTTTCGGCAGAGCAGGTCCGTGGCCTGCCATCCAGGCATCACCGTGGTCTGTCCCTGACTTGCCTTCCTGGCCTCCTGTCCCAGCCTGTCTGTCCCCAACCCTGGTCACTCACTTGTTCCCAGCACGACTCACTCTCCCTGGGCAGTGTCCCTCTGGGTTCTGCGCCCTCAGCTTAGACCACTTCCTGTCTGGGCCTGTTAGGGTCCAGTGGCACTCGTTCAGGGCTGAACACATGTATCCCCTGCTTCATGAGCCTTCTGGGTGGCCTTCCTCCGGGGGTAAAGCCTTTTGCACTTGGCTTTGCTCTGCCAAGTGGCCCAGTGCGTTTGTAGCCCAGTGAGCTATGCTGCTGCCTTTTTCAGCTGCAGAAATCACATTTGCAGGTCCCAGGGGTGAGGGCGTGGGTACAGCACAGCCTGTTGGAGGATTTCAACTTTGTGTGCGTTCAGATTTCTGAATCAGTACCTCATGGGCGTCTGGATCTGGGAGGCATTTCTTTGACTGTGAGGTGCTGCAGGTGACACCGTTTCATAGACCGCTGGGGGCAGGAACAGTTTGCAGAAACCAGCTGAGAGCAAGGCATGGGGAGACCTGTCGACAGCATTTTTGTCTCTCTGAGGCTATTCCTGGGCGATGGGTCGTTTCACTGTATGGAAGGTCTTCTCTTCCCCCGCCTGCAGGGAATCCAGAGAGAAACTGGAAATCTTCTGAACTGCTTTTCCCAGGCTAGGTTTTGGGACATTTTGCTGCCATATCTTCCATTTACAAGGGGGTGGCTTCCATCTGTAAGGTTTGTTTTTAGGACAGTGGAGGGAGATTGTCTGCAGGGTACATTCCAGCAGCCCAACTTCAGGGCCTGAAAAAACAGACATTACGTTTCTCTGTATTAAATGCCAGCCTGTTGGCTTGGATTCTTGTTTATCTGAATCCTGATCCTGCCATTAGTGTGCCGTCTGCCCCTTCCGGCTCCAGGGCACCCTCACATCTGCAAGCCTTGGTCTTCCCCAGCGTCTGCGGGTCCAGCATCCGCAGCTCTGCGGACCCCATACAGCCCTGCGCTGAGCAGTGACATGGAGTACAGCACATACAGCCACGTCCCTTCAGCTCCAAATGGAGACTGTTTTCAGATTTTATTTTCAAGTCCCAGCCAAAGCCAAAACTTTCCCACCAAAGTTTCTATAGTGTCTTGATCGGTGTAACTAGTTGGTTCTTGTCCAGAGATATTTGTAAAATCTATTATATATTGACATGGCATTTGAAATTCTTAAAAATTCTATGCTGGGGAAAAAGGAAGGGGCGCTCACTGCCCTTCGGCTTTAATGGGTCCCAGGAGCAAAATGGGACATCACCTTTGAGAGGAACCAGTCCAGGAACGCCAGCCCCCACGGACCCCCAGGCCCCACAGGCTTCTTACTTGACTCCTTTTGGGGACTTCAGGCCAGAGTAGCATGTCAGAGAAATCTTGAGCATGTCGTGTTCGCACCCCCAGGGCCATGACAGCCAGGACGACATTCCAAAGGAGGCCCTGGAAGGGGTGTGGCGGATTCCTCGGGTTCTCAGTCCTGGGTGCTGTGCCTGCCCTGGATTGGTGCTCACCATTTCTAGGGGCCTTTTGATTAAATCGCTCATTGAACTGTTGGCTGTGAGGAGTTCTGGAACAGCAGCAAAAGCCCAGCAGACACGGCCCACCCAACTCCCACCCCCACGCTGGGCTCTGGCAGGGCCGTGAGAGACAGGTGTGATCTCCTCTGCTTCAAGGGCTCAGCCCCTCCCTGCTGCTCCCACCTGGCCCACTGGCCCTGCCCCTCTGGTCCCTGTGGGTTTTACCTCCTCAGCGGGCTCTTCCCTTTGACCCAAAATATATTAGTTTCCTATTGCTGCTGTCATGCATCACCACAAACAAGTGACTTAAAACAAGAAATTTACCATCTCACAGTTCTGGAGATCAGAGTCCAAAACAGGTCTGGCAGGACTCAAGTCCAGGTGTGGGCAGGGCTGCGTTCCTTCCAGAGCCACGGGGGAGAAGCGGTGTGGTGTCTTGCCCTCTCGGGCGTGTAGGTACTGCCCGCGTTCCTTGCCACAGGGCCCCATTGCTTCAGCGTCATCTTCACAGCTGGCAGCGTTGGGCGGAGCCGTCGCATGGCTGGTTCTCTCTCCTGCCTTCCTCTTCCACTTACATGAATCCTTGGAATGTTATTGGACTCAGTTAGGTAATCCAGCACAATCTTCTTATCTTCAGGTCAGCTAATTAGCAACCTCAACGCCCTATAACCTGCCAGGTTCACGGGCTCCCGGGTTAGGATGTAGACAAGTTTGGTGGGGCCTGTCCTGCCCCCCACACCATCTAAGCCAGGACCCCCACCATGACTCTCTACAGCACCTCGTTCTTTCACATGTGATTCTAAACACACGGAAAGAATTGAATTGGTGCCTGACTCCTTCCTGGCCGGCCTTCCCTTC